TGTGACAGGAATCTGGTGGGGAATTGGAGTCTCTGAAGGAAAGCTTTCTGGGAAGTTCAGTCCCCCTGGATCTGATGGCAAGTGTTACTGCAGGCAGCCTGGAGAGTTACGGGAAGGGGAGAAATTCCTGCCCTCTCTTGGTTTGGATTTGGACCAGAGGTTGCACCTCATAAGATGTTTAAGGAGGTCCTTGAGTACCTGAGCAAACAGAGTCTCTGAATTGTGTTTATTCATTTTCAGCAGCTCCATCCTGTGTGTGCAGCATGACCCAGGGTGTCAGCTGAGGTCAGGGGGTTTTGCCATTTAATTTCATCAGAGGAAAGGCAGTAAGGCAGGACCCAAACCCCAACGTTTATTGCTCCTTATCTATATTATAACTACTTTTTAAACCAAAATTTTCCAGATTTACTTTTTCACTCCAAGCAAATGCACCTTGAATGTTTTACTCTCATGGTTTTAAAGCAGACTTCTCAGAGTTCATGTTCAGTAAGTAGAGGCTTGGTTTTGGTACTCAGGTGGTTATCAGAGGGTGCTTCAAATGGAATGATAGAGACCAAAAATAGATTGATTTAGCTGATCTTAATTTTTACTGTGGAGTGCCACTTCTGTGTATTTAATTGAAGCTTGAGATCTGCAAGTCACAGGTAAGAACTGCAGTGTTACAAATGTGACTTGTGTTACTTTCACATCTTTAGGAAAGCTCATGGATTAATACACACATGCTCTTGTGTGTTTTTCTAATGTTCCGTTTAAAGGGGACATGGTAAATTTACTGTAAGGATGGTTATAAATCTGTATATTCTTTAAAGGAAGGCTAAGTCTTGTTGGCTGATAATGATTTAAATGCAAAAATTGAAGTGGATAACTGCAGTCTCCTGACATACGTATTTTTTAAAATGTGGAATTAAATGAAAACTCCTTTCCCTGATGCATCAATAACAGAGTGAGCTGTGTACTGCTCCGACTCCTGCAGTGCCTGTGGGGAAGATGTGGATGTGTTGTGCTTGGGTAATGTGCTGAAGAGTCCAAACCTCTGTTTCTTTAAAATGATGATTTATCTTTTAATTGCAACCAAGTCTTTCTTAGTAAATTAGGTTTGTTTTGAGTCACACAGGGAAGGAGTGAATGTTCTCTAAAGGATAAAACACTTAAATGACTGCTTACATTTTTTGGACTATTATTCTTCTCAGGGTTTGTTGTATCTACCAAAATAAATGAGTTTCTTTAGGGAAAATAAGTGAGAGGTTTTAAATAAGTGTCTGTATATACTAATTTGTTGTTCTTTTGAAAAGGTCATTTAGTATAAAATAGGATACTGGAGGAATATCTCTCATAGATAGAAACTGATCTGCTGTAGAGAACTTGGTGTGGTCTGATTTAAGTGAGCAGGTAGGAAGGGAAATCTTCCTGTTCCCCAGAGAAACTCATTGCTGTTGGAATCACTGTTTGGACAGCAGGATTGACCAAAGGAGGTACAGGTACCCTATAGAATTAATTCCCTTTTCCACATCAGCTAAGTAAGTATCTGCTGGTATTCTTCTATGGAAGCTTGGACTTCAATGGATTTTTACTTTAAATAAGAGAAGGGCAGGACTGTGGCTGTTAACAAGAGCACTGTCAAACCTTGCTTCACTAGCAGAGCTGCAGTCTGTTGCAGAACTCAATTTCAGTTCTAGCTGAAACTGTGTTTTGATACACATCCGTGCCTCAAGCAACCACAAAGCCTTCTTTGGTGTCTCTGAAATGCCTAAATATATTTAACTTTGGCTTCGTGCTGTTTAGTTTTTTAGAATAAGCATATTCTGTTAATCCTTCCTGGCACTGAAGGGCTGTGCAACTTCAGTGCAAGGGAACAAGCCTGTGTACCTTCAATATTATGGAAGTTGTTGTGGAGAAAGTATTTTGGGGACTTGTCCTGACTGAACTCAGCCTCCCTGGGCAGTCTGGAGACATGACTTTAGAAATTGTAGTCATTCTTATTTTTGACACATTCAGGATTTGAACATTGCAGAGCATCTACCTTGATTTTATTGATGGAGGACTACTGGGCTTAAAGATACATAAAAGTAGAAAAATATGCCTTAGAGTCAATGGGTTCTGAAGCAGCACTGTTGTGTCTCTAGAGGAATGCATAGTGCAGTGTGACAAAATTAACTGCTCTATTAAAGACCTCTGTACTTCACACCAGATACTGCTAATGTGTGTAATTGATCTTCCAAACCAGCTACGGGAATTGAAGCCCATTAAAACATTTCTTGAGGCGATGACAAGAGCTGCAAGACTCCTCCATGGGCCTCCTGCCTCCCACATCAAAGGGCTGTGCTGCTTCAGTCCCTGGTGGCTGCTCTGCTGAGGCTCTTTGTGAGATGCACTTTCACTGCTCCTCACTAAAGCTGGGTACTCAGACAGCTCCATGTCCCTTTTCCCATGTGACTTCATGGGCAGGACCCTCTTTAAGTTTCTTTTTCTTTGCCTGCTGTTTGTTTGAGTTGAGGTCCATCTCCAGCTCTTATTTAAGTGCAGCTTGCGAATGGAAAGTAGTATTTTGCTGTTACATTTCCTGCTTCTGAAATTAACTGTGACTTTCCACGAGTGGAAAAAGATAGGAATAAACAACTGTCTTAATACTTGGAAGATACTGAGGTGATTTAACTACAGGAGGGAAACTACTTGCTTTTTCTGCTTTTTCTTTTAGCTTTAGTGAGCTGAGGAGTCCTAAGGCCAGGCTGGATGAGGCTCAGAACCATCCTGGGATAGTGGAAGGTGACCCTGCCCATGGTAGGGGGTAGAACCAGATAAGCTTTAAGGGCCCTTCCAACCCAAACCATTCCATGGTTCTGTGAAATCAGCTGAGCAAGGAAGGGCCAGGAAGCAGCAGGTTTGCTGGAGGCAGGGTGCTGGTACATTATCCAAACCAGTTTGTCCCTTGTGATTTAAATGCAGGAATTAACAGGAGAAGTGTTAGAGTCCTGAGTGTGTCTTAATTCCTGTAGGGAGCCAGAGCTCTTCCCTGCTGTGCCTGGCTCAGGGCAATGCCACTGGGAATCTTCTCTCTCTGTAGGTAACTTGTCTGGAAACTGCTGGAAGTTTGGAGAGGGTGGAATTGGCAGTGGGCTGGTGGAAATGCCTGGTTGTTCTCCCTGGAAGGAATTGCTGCTCAAGTGCAGGGAGGGCAGGACCCTGTTCTGGTAAATCCTGGGTGTGCCTGGAACTTGCTGGGTAGATAGGACCCAGCAGAAAGCTCTGTGCTGTCCCTTGAGCTGCTGGGGTTTCCTGACCCAGCTCTTGCTGGTCCCTTTATCAGGGACAAGCACACTTGGCTTTATCTCCTCCAAATTTAACTTTTGGAGTATTTGCACACACGGAACCTCTGGTGAATGGTGAGTGCTCTTGGTGTCTTGGCAGCCTCGTTGGTGATGCCCAAACAAGTGTGTGGACTGCTCTCTAGGAAACAGCTTTTTGTGAGCCTAGAAAAGCTATTCTGATCCTTGATTAGTTCCTAAAATGTGCAATTTAGGGGGTCACTTCATCAAGAGGGGTCTCTTGTAGCTAAGTAAAGCTGTCTCTCAATTTAGGTCAGCTCTTTTAATATGGTTATTTTATTCCATTCAGGATTGTTTTGCATGGACTAATAAGGGAATACCTGAACTCAAGGCTTTTCTTGGATTGAATTAATTACTGTTTTATACTGTAAATAATGCTGTGATCAAACATACTTGTCCCCTGCCATGGTAATTGAAGAGACTTTGAAGGGAAGGGCTCTTCATCCTCAGGTTCACAGATTTTGGCAGAAATACATGAATTACTCCTAAAAGCCCCTTCAGTTCCATTTAGTACAGAATGCAGTCGTGTGCTTGACAGCTCTAAAGTGGATCAGGGCTTTGGGAGGGTTCTGGGTGTCTGAACTGTAAACTCTGCCATTCAAACTGAAACTACTTGAATGTTTCACAAAGAAGTGAGCAGGCTAAGAGATGAGCAAGCTAATTGATTAGTTTTGTAAAGAAATGTTACTTCTGCAGGAGCTGAAGTGATTCTTAAGCTGCCTTCAATTCTATAAATCTAAATGTCTTGTAGTTTTTCAGGCTGTGCTGCTCTGAAAGCAAACAACATCTATGGCACTGGTTCATGGTTCCATGATCTGCTCTCTGGGTTAGTTTTGTCTTTTATTGAGGAGTTAGAATATGCTATGCTGGGTCTGAAATGCCAAAGTTGTGTGAATTAAGGAAGGAGGGTTTTTTGTTTGGGAGGAGTATGGGAGCAGTTCCCTTTCTGCTGGCTCACCATGCTTCAGGGAATAGCAGCACAGTCTGTTTTAAAGCAAAACTACCTTCATACCACATCAAAAAAGGCATTTTTGGAGTGTGCCACAATTTTACCGAGTGCTGGGTTAGTTTGAAATATAAACTTTCCCAGTCGTGTAAGGTGATCCAGTGCGAGTCCTGGAGCACGGAGCCTCCCAATGGCTTCCGTTCCTCGATGAAGGCAGTGAGGGTGGATGTGTGGAACTTCTGTGGCCTCCTTGACAGGACAGGTCTTTTCAATGCAGTTGAAGAATTAATGGATTAAAGCTTTGCCCATAATTACATTGTGCAAGGTGTGTAAGCAGAGAAAGGGATGTCTCATTCTAGGTCTTGATAACAGCAAACAGACTTGTGTCCTGCCTGTCCCAGGCTGTGTGGCAGTGCTGAAGAGGGGCTTTTGTCAGAGTATGGAGTGTCAGGACACAGGGAATGGCTTCCCACTGCCAGAGGGCAGGGATGGATGGGATATTGGGCAGGAATTGTTCCCTGGCAGGGTGGACAGGCCCTGGCACAGGGTGCCCAGAGCAGCTGGGGCTGCCCCTGGATCCCTGGAAGTGTCCAAGGCCGGGCTGGGCTGGGCTTGGAGGACATGGGACAATGGGAGGTGTCCCTGCCCATGGGACAGCTTTAAGGTCCCTTCCCACCCAAACCATTCCATGATTGCCAGGCCTCTGTGGGGACCAAGGTCCCCATTAATAACGTAATAACGTAGGCATTTATTTTTCAGAGCATTAGTAGATTATTAATAACAGGCATTTTCTATTTCAAAAAAGTTGTCTTATGACAAAAGCATCCAGTGGTGTTTCGTTAAAGGGATTTTCAGAGTTTTGTGCCAGAAAAAGTGTGGTGAAAATGAGATCAACTGAGGAGCTGAGAGCTGTGTCTGTGTGTTGTCCTGATGAAGTTCAGGGTGGGGGAAAAGTCTCACAGGATTGTATCTCGAAACTCCAGAGGAACCTTCAAATCACATTTACTTCTTGATTCTTCCTATTTTCAAATCTTTCTTTCTCTTTTTTTATTTCTTGTCGGTGTCTGTAGTGTTGCTGTCAGGAAATCCCAGCAGGTGAGGAGCTGTCCTGGGCAACATGGGATGCTCCTCTGGGAACAGCTGCTGCCCCTTCCCGCTGCTAAGGCACTTACAGGAGGGTCTGAGCTGCAGCAAGATGTGACTGGAGGAGGGAAAGGTGATGAAGAAGTGTTTTGGGAGGATGAGTAAAACCTTGGAGACTTGGATTAACAGCCACTTCTTGTTTGCTGCCTTCCTTCTAGAAAGGCAGAAAGAGCGGAGGGAGTGTGACTCATGGCAAATGGGCTGTGAGGTCCTTAATGGAAAAATGGGAACTGTGAGGAGCAAATTATTCCCTTCTTTCTCCATTATGCCTTTTCAAATGGAAACTTCTGCTGCCTGATCTAACCTTGCTGTTTATTTCCTAACTCCAGTCTGATATTGCCCTGCATTTCACAGCTCTTTGGTTACATGTTGGATTTATGAAATCCCCTTCCCAGCACACCTGGTCACCTTTCCAGCTTAGAACGTCCACAAATCCACCGGGTCTGTGTCCTGTCAGCTTCCATACTAAAATCCAGATTCAGTTCCCTTCTTCCAGGTGTCTCCACAGTTCAGACTGATCTGCGTAGCTGTTGGTCCTTGGTAGCTGTTCCTCCTCTGTCATGCACATAAAACAGAGGAATATGAAATAATTGAAATAAAAGGAAAATTACAGACATGGTACAGAAGATCTCTGATGGGTCACTTGTATCCTGGCTTATATATGAATAATTGCAGCTTTTGAATCTCAGGGTTTTATCTAAATGAAAAAGGAATTAAAAGAAAAGAAAGCCTGAAATTTTGTAAGTGTCATTTTGTTGTTGATTTTGATTTCAAGCTTGCTGTCGTCTTTTGACCTGCGTTGCTTTGAGATCAGTGAAGGAAAATACTGATGTACAGTCTTTTGTTTGGGAGCACTTTCCAAAAAAGCCTCTTTTTTGGGGGGGAATAATTAATACTGTTATCCCAGCTAAATATTGATTTTTATTCTTGACATAAAGTATGGAAAAACCAGACCTTTCTTAATGCAAAATCAAATTATTGTGTACTATTCGTTGCTATCAGACCCCCAGAAGTGCTCCTGCTGCCTTCTTGTGCCATTCCAAGCTCTGCTTTCCTTTCATGATTTTTTTTTTGCTTTCACTTTGAACTGTTGCTTTTGCATTTAATTTCTGAAGAGTGAAAGAAGTGATCTTTAACAAATATGCAAAGATAATCAGCTTAATCAAACTGCTTTAAAAGCAGATTAATGCCACTTCTGAGTGGGAAGATGAAGGAAGCCCAAATGCCGACCTGCCGTTAGTGGATGAGTCAGTGCAGTGACAGATGTTGACAAAACTTTTTTGATGCTTTGGACTCTTACAATTAATTTTATTCTTCACTCATAAAAGCAGAGAGAACAGAAAGTGAAATGAGACCTTTTCAAAATGCTCTGATGCAGGACAGTTCCATCCATCCGTGCTGTGGGAACGTGGGATGTTCCATGTGGCTGTTCTGCTCTCCCTGTCAGGTATTTGAGTGTTGCTGTGTGCACACCTTCATCTCCAGCTGTGATGATGTCATTTCATCCAGGGAAGTGGATGAAAGATGGAGAGAACTGGGGTTGTTCAGCCTGGAGAAAAGGAGGCTCAGGGGGGCCCTGCTGGCTCTGCACAACTCCCTGACAGGAGGGGGCTGGGCTCTGCTGCCAGGGAACAGGGACAGGAGGAGAGGGAACGGCCTCAGGCTGTGCCAGGGGAGAGTCAGGTTGGATTTTGGGAAGATTTCCTCATGGGAAGGGTTGTCCAACCCTGGCACAGCTGCTCAGGGCAGTGCTGGTGTCCCCATCCCTGGAGGGATTTAACAGCTCTGTGGTGGCTCTTGGGGACATGGCTCAGTGATGAACACAGTGGTGCCAGATCAGTGGCCTTAAAGGTCTTTTTCAACCTTAAAGGATATGTGACTCGTGGCACTAAAAACCAGAAAATGCCTCCCTTTGGATCTGCATTCCTTCTTCTCCATGTGCACATTTTAGAACTTTGTACTAAGGAGCAGCCTTGTCTTGGATGGTTCCCAGTGCTCCCATCCCTCTCTGGTTTCCAGCTCAGCCACGAGCTGACCACATCCCCCAGCTGGTGGGCAGCTGATAGCAGCACTGTGTTCCTGCTCCTGAGCACGCTAACAATTGTGTAAAAATAGCAGGGAAAGGAAGCTCAAATCCACCAGGAAGAAAAGAAAAAGGAGAAAGGAGGAGAAGAGCAACCTGTGAGCTAAAGTGAGCAGGGAGCAGCCAATCCCAGAGGTGATGAAATAAGTGGGGAGGGGAAATGTGGTAATCCCATGCAAGAGAAGGTTCCCTTCATGGCAGAGCTTGGGTATATGAGAACAGTGATATTGGGAAGTTCAAAATGTAAACAGGAATGCAGAACTTCTCATCAAAAACCACACTTGCATAATGTTAGGTTGAGACATGGTGTGGCACAACCAGCGTGGAAATGCCGTATTTTGGCAAAGGGAGGGGAAAATACGTCTTCAAAATAGTCAATTAGTAGGAAAAAAACCTTTATTTGGTTGTGTTTGTTTACATCTTTATGAGGATAACTGGCAGCTAGAGAAAATCTGGTTTTGTTTTTCTCCGCAGTTATTTTTCCCTTGTGCCATTTCCATGCTTATCAAATCATGGCATGGCTCTCCTGCTTTGGCTGATAGAGCCTTTCAGCAAAGAAACTGTAGAGACAACTTTCCAATCACCTAATTAAACAAACATGTTGATTGAAACTTCTCCAGAGTGCTTTTCCTAGCTATTTGCCAATGTTTTATTAAAATAAATGTCAAGAGAAGCACTGTCAAAGGCTCAAATAATTTAGATTTTGGAGTTCCTGTAGTCTATCACTGCTCAGAGTAGGGCTGACTTTGATGTTGGATTGAGTAGCCCTTAGAATTCCAGGGGTTGGGCTATGGCCAGGGATGAAAGTTTTACAATTTGGAAACCTTTATTTGGAATTTCCCCCTCCTTGTGTTTCACTGTATGAATGATATACACTGCAACTACTCTACTTCTCCATAACATCTTCCAAGAAAAAAACTGGAGGCGAGACCTTTTGTGCTGAGTGTTCACCCAGTGCCAGGGTTCCCAAAAGAGGCACCAGAGCAGGATCTTAGAGGATGATTCAAAGGAAGAGTGAAGTGTTGTTGTTCCCATCCCCTTCATTCCTGGAGCATAGTCACTTCTGACATATTTGAATTGGGCAGTGACAGGATGTCCTTGGGGCACCTGTGCTGGAATCAGGGGAGGGGACTGTGCCCTGCCCAGGTGAGACCCCACCTGCAGAGCTACCCCAGCCCAGGAAGGACCTGGAGCCAGGCTGGGAGAGCTGGGGGTGCTCACCTGGAGAGGAGAAGCTCCAGGGACACCTCAGAACCCCATCTAGGGCCTAAAGGTGCTCCAGGAGAGCTGGAGAGGGACTGGGGACAAGGGATGGAGGGACAGGACACACTGCCAGAGGGCAGGGATGGATGGGATATTGGGCAGGAATTGTTCCCTGGCAGGGTGGGCAGGCCCTGGCACAGGGTGCCCAGAGCAGCTGGGGCTGCCCCTGGATCCCTGGCAGTGCCCAAGCCAAGTTTGCCAGTGCTTGGAGCAGCCTGGAATAGTGGGTTGTGTCCCTGCTCATGGCAGGACGGACACTGGATGGGCTTTAATGTCCCTTCCCACCCAAACAATTCCGTGTTAATCCAAACCAGCTCTGAGAGTGTGACATTGCAGTAAAGGTGCTGCATCCCAGCCCATCCTTAAAAGACTCACTTGACTCAGGATTTAGTGAAAGGATCCTGTCCCTTTTCCATCTCCTCTCTGTCTTTCCTGATGATGCTGAATCCCTTTTGTGGCTCACACAGCTGAGGTGCAGCAGAGGAAATGTTGGGAGCACCTGGAGGGGGTGGGTGCATCCCTATCCTGAGGGGCAGCTCCTGGGATGTGTTAATTAAACAGCTGCTCCTGACCCGGGACTGCTCCCATCAGGAATTAGTGTTTTGGAGAGGGCCAGCAGAACTCATAGCAACGTTTCTTCTTACAGGCAGCTTTTCTTACTTATATTGGCAGAAGTTGTTGACTTAGGAAGTGATAACATTGCAGGCTCTTATCAGAGCCCAGCAGCCTTGCAGCAGGAATGCTGATGAGCATGTCGGGGGGGTTTGCTGAGCTCTGGCAGCAACAAAGCGGAATTATTAATGCTTATATTGGAACATTTTTCTCCTGTTTTTAAACTTCTTGACAAAACTCTTGAGCTTTGGTGGCTTCTTCCAAGCCTCATTAAAATCAATAAAAAGCTTGTTGCAGATTTTATGAAGGGTTTTCTTGGGGGGATTTTTTTTTTTCTCATTTGGGCTGAAACCACACAAAATCGCTCCAGTTTCTGCACCCGAAATGTGTATCTTGCTTTTTGAAAAGCAAATACGTGTCCTGAACACTGTCTCTGAGGAGTCATTCTGGGGTTGTATAGTCTGCCTTTTGAGCTGCTTTGTGTGTGTTTAATAAACTTGCTCCATATTCCTCTCAAAGGTGACTTTGTATCAACAAGCAGCTGTGAAGTTGAACTTGTTGCATGTTCAAGCTGGTAGCTCACAGTCAAACTGTGCCCTTTCCCATCTGCCTGCTGGGGTTGATTATCAACCCATAAAGTTACTGGGATTGGTGTTTGGCTTGTTGGCCAAGAGAGATTTTTTTAAAAATAAAAACAAAGTTGACCTCTGTTGCAGGTAATGAAATGTTGCTTTTAGAAACTGTTTTATGAAATGGTAAATTTAAGTTTAGCTGAGGTTTTGGACAGCTGGCATTGACACAGGGGCTTTCTGTTAGAGCACATCCTCAGCTCCCCGTTTGTGTAAATACTGAGATTCCATGAGATTCCCAAAAGTGTCCATCATGTCAGATGGTAGAATTCCTTATGGTGCATCTCAGTTTGTATTAGAATTTTGGAATCATGAAAGCCCTGCATGGGAAGGGACCTTCAGGGATCACTGATCCAGCCCCAGGCCCTGCCTAGACCTCCCAATATCCCCACCCTGGGCATCCCTGGCAGCGCTGTCCAAACGCTCCTGGAGCTCTGGCAGCCTCGGGGCCGTGCCCATTCCCTGGGGAGCCTGGGCAGTGCCAGCACCTCTGGGGGAAGAACCTTGCCCTGCTCTGCAGCCTGAGCCTGCCCTGGCCCAGCTCCAGCCCTTCCCTGGCTGCTGGCCCTGTCCCAGGGCTGAGATCGGAGCTGCCTCTGGGGAGGAGCTGCAGCCCCTGAGGAGTCTCCCCTCAGTCCCCTCTGCTCCAGCTGAACATTCCAAGTGCCCTCAGCCCCTCCAGGTCCTTCCCCACATTCGTGTCCCTCCTTTGGTCCGTCTTAAACAGCTTTAGATCCTTCTGACATTCTGGTGGCTGAAACTGTCCCCAGCACTCGAGGAGAGGCCACCCCAGAGCAGAGCTGGACAATCCCCTCCCTCACACAGCTGGCAGTGCTGGGCCTTGGGCACAACTCTTTGAAGTGCACAAGTTTTGATGCACAACTTCTTCAACTATTTCTTTCTACTCCATCAGTCCTAAAATTATATCTCCTTTTTCTGTGTATTACGTATTTACCCTGTCATAAGCCATAAACTAAAGGATACAATGAACACAAAACACAAAAATATTTTATTTCATTTACCAGAATGTGAAAATTATCAGTAGTTGTGGCACATCAAAGTACAGGCAAACTATTTCCAGCAGCAGGATTATATGGTGGAGAAATTGGACTTTCCAGGCACATCCAGATGCAGTGTGCTACTGGGAGAGTTTCCAAGTTTCTGTGAAGACCAAACCTCTAGATACAAGGGAGTGGTGTCCCATCAGTTTGACTGCTTGTGTGCTTCAGGAACAATTGAGGTTAGGCTGGAACTTTTAATTTTAGGGTTTGGGTATTTTAGTGTCGAACTTTATGTCCTTCTGATGCCACAGGAGACATTTGTTGGTCCTGTTGGAGTGACTGGAGGAATGAAGCAGATGAGATGTTTTCTCCATATAATTTTTTATAAATGTGTATTTCTGGCACAATGCCTCATTTTTGATGCAAAAAGTGTTTGTATAGCACTTGAAAATTCAAAGGAAAGGGCTTGCCAGGAGTGGCCTCATGAGCATTGCTGATCCCTGGGATTTTTGCACCAGTGGACCAAAGCACATGGGCAGCAACCACTGTTTAGGGGTCTTCATTGACTTTCTTGGGGCCAGGAATGCCAACAGCAGTGTAAAATAAAACCCACCTTGAAGATCAATATAAATCCAGTTGGATCTTCTATAAAACTCTCTCCTGTAGCTCATATTGTGAAGTAACCTAGGCTTTGTTCACTCATCTATGAAAATCTCAATCACTTTGCAGCCATGATTTCAGAACTGCTCCTTGCCAGAAAAGAGGCCTTTTCCAGGTGTATCCATCGGAATCCAGTCCTGGAATTCCCTCTCTGGGCATGTTAAACTCTTGTTACAGGCACTGAGACTTTCTCTTTTTCCTCTTGAATTAATCCAGATTCCCCTCACAGTGGAGTGTCCTGTCTAGGCTGCTGGTTCAGGAGTGGTTTTTTCAAGGGAAGTTCATGTTTTAAAGTGTTGTCTTTGTATTTGCAGCTGCCAATGTGAAGTGTCAGAAGAGAACAGTTGGACCTTTCTGGGACAAGAGAGGACTGTTTATTCTCTCGTTCTTTGGTAAGAAGTGCATTATTTTGGGATGATCAGCTGCTTGTTTGTGGATTCTGTGCTCATCATTTATTATTCTTTTAATTAAATGAAGTGTTTTCCAAGATCTTAGATAAAAATTAGTATTTCACTGAGTTGGAATTTGCAACCTTTAATTATCGGAAAAGGTTCCTGACTCTTAGTTGTGCCCAAGCTTCAAATACGATTCCTTGCCCTGTTCTATTCCTGAATAATGTGCAAATATTTGTGTTGTCAGCTGCTCTCCCAGGAAATCCTGGTGAAAGTTACTCATTCCCTGCAACCTGTGGTGTCAGGAAAGAGGAGAAACCTCCTTGTCAGGGACAAAATGAGGGAAACTGAGTGTTTATCCTTATCTCAGAAATTTCCTTCCACCTGCCAAAGGGGGAGAAGTGTTTTCAGTTTGCACCAGAAGCATCTTTTGCTCAAGGTACAGCGCATTCCTGAATGTTCAATTCTCAAATTTTCTAATGTTCCTTTGCTAAAAGATTTGAATTCCAAACTCAGAGGGCAACTGTGCCACGGTATGTAAACAGCTCAGGGGTCAGCTCAGTCTGATTTCATTAAAATAAATGGAATTCAGTTTGGATGGGGAAAGTAAGGGGACAAAGTGAAATGCTTGGATTCTTCCTTTTTCATTTTTTTCCCTCCAGTTTTTCCTTTTCCTTGCTGAAAGTCCAATTGCATTTAAATATATGTGAATTTAAACGATCCTTTATTTAACTAATCTTTTTTGTTTAGAATCACTGGCAAACAGATGGTTATTGCTACTCTTAATTATGTACATAATTTAAACCAGAAGGCACATCTGAAGCAAAAAGTAATTAAGATATTCCCATAGAGAACAGAGTCTGAGGTTACAACCTTTGCTCATCATTTATCCTTTCAAGCAGAACATAAGGATGGAGAATTAACAAGACCATTCTCTCTTTTCTGATGTAATTTAACACACATGGAATTGCAGGTAAAAGGGCAGACTGTGAATTGGTAACACCACCTTTTTTTGGCTTCAGTCCTGAACAAACCCAATATTGGTACCAATAAAACCAAGTTTCACTGCTCTGTGTATAAGCTGGCTGATATTTTTATGTGATCCTGTTGATAAGGAGGAGCCTGAATTCAAGGCTGCTTTCCTGACCAGTTTTTTTTATCTGAGCTGTGTTTTCACCTTTCTGCTTCACTTCTGGGAAATGGGTTTTACTCTGAGGGCAGAGCTGCAGATGAACAAAATGAGAATTCTCCTTCCATATTGCAGTCCTAAAAGTGGTGTGGATCAGCCTGAGAATGGGTTTATGCAGCTGCTTGGTGCTGGGCTGGCTTTGTTCCCAGCTGTCCCTCAGAGCTGCACGGTGGGGAATGATGGTTGGAAAGGTTCAGAGTGCTTGGTGGAGTTAATGATACAAAAACCATTCTTAATTCCAAGACTTCTAAAGCCAGAAATGCCCTTATGAGGTGTCAACAGTCACTGGGATCCTCCTTCTGTTCCCATGGGAAGAGTTGGTGAACTGGAAATGGGTTAGAAAGCTTTGGGATAGAAAGAAATGTGGATTCAGGTGTGGTTCTGGCTGTCCTGAGCAGTGTGTGGTGCATCCCTGCTCCCAGAGCTGTTCCCTTTTCCTTTTGCTCAGCCCAGTGACCTTGAGCTGCTGGAGGGAGTGGGATCAGCTCATGGATGTGATGGGAAGGAACTGATTTCTCTCCAAGTATTCACTGTCCATCATCTCAGAGAGCCTCGTTGTAACAATTCAGCCTTTTTGCTATTTCTGTCAGCAATTTTCAGCACTTCTTTGGTGGCAGGGAAGTTGCTGAAGCATTTCACTAATGCCCAGCAGCAGCCAGAGCAAAGTGTTTGCTTTAGAACCAGTCCTATAACTTCATGTACCATTTATCTTGGCAGCATCACCCTTTGGATCTGATAATCCTGATCCAAAGTGAAACAGGCAGCCTTTTTTTCCACATAGCTTTCCCAAAATTCACCTTAAAAAGGAAGATCCTCACATGGAAAAAACCACACTGTCACAGTAGGAACTGTTCTGCACTGAATGCAGGAGTTAGACTGAAACATGGTTCTTTGGGTAGTCTCTGCTGGAGGTTTATGCTGGATTTCAGGAGCACAGCTGTAAGATATTTAAAAAGACCAAATTTTCTAGGCTAATACTGGTTTTATTAATATGTAGGTGGTTATATAATAAACTTAAAAACTACATCTATCTAATCAAAATACGAAATTTTTCCAGCATAGTGCCTATTAAATTAAAACCTTTCCTCAGAGATACTAAGCAAGCTTCAAATTTTTAAAAAAGCAATTTTTTAAAAATTAAGTTGGTGTTTCTTTGCTAATTGAGTGTG